GGTGTAGCTATTGTGCAAAACAGTATGGAGTTTTCTCAAAAAGTTAAAAATAGAACTACCCTGCAGTCCCACTATTGGGTATTTGCCCCAGAAATACAAAAACACTAATTCAAAGGAATATATGCACACCTATATTTATTGAAACAATACTTATAATAGCCAAACTATGGAAGCAACCCAAGGGTCCTTTGATATATGAATGGATAGAGTATGGTATGTATATACAATGGAATATTACTCAGCCAAAAAAGGGAAAATCTCTCCTTTTGCAACAATGTGGATAGAACTAGAGAAGATAATGCTGTGTGAAATAAGTTAGAGAAAGACAAATACCATATTATTTCACTCATGTTTGGAATTTAAGAAACAAAACAAATGAGCAAATGGAGGGAACACAGACAAACCAGGAAATAGACTCAACTATAGAGAACTGATGGTTACCAGAAGGGAGGTAGGTAGGAGAATGGTGAAATAGATGAAGAAGATTAAAGAGTACACTTATCATGATGGAAAAACTTTAAAGGATCCAAACAAGAAGGGAACTGCTGGGAGGGGCTGGCAAGAGCTATGGTTATGTTTTTCTTCCACCTTGATACCATGGACAGGAGAAAGGTCTGGGTGCCCTAGCTGACCTATCACCCTAGTGAGCCCCAGGACCCTAGCCTACACCAGCCCTCGCCATCCCATCAATGCAGCCTCAGAGCGACATAACCCAGGATGCTCATGGTCAGTACTTACTGCAGTTACAGACATTGCGCCAAGGTGACACAGGTGGAAAGCACCCTGGAACACTCTAGGCCTATACCACTTTGGTTCCAGAGGGCTTGCTAGGGCACCTATAGCTGAGAGTGCTTCTGGAACTCCCAGGTCCTACCTGCACTGAGCACCCTGGGACCCCCACAGTGTGTGCCCCACCTTGGCTCCAGCCACCCACTACATGGCCATCCCCTACCCCACCAGGGCACCCTCTGCATTTAGTACCTCAGGACACCCCAGTTTTCCCTCACTTTACCTTTAGCTGTCCTGCCAGGGTGCCCTGTGCACAGACAGCTTTGGGACTCCCAGCCCACGACAGCTGTAGCTCCAGCCAGCCAAAGTCACCAGGCATACATAGCTTCCAGTTGGGATGACCATACACAAGACCTTTCCTTCAAGTTCAGGAGAATTCTAATTCATATAAGCAAACAACAAATGTTAAGCAAAATGAGACAGAAGAATATGCTCCAAATGGAGATAAGCCATATGTCTGATAGAGTTTAAAGTAATGATCATAAAGATGGACTGGAGGAAAGAGTGGAATAACTCAGTAAGAACTTGAACAAAGAGATAGAAAATACCAAAAAGAACCAATCAGAGTTGAATACAATAACTGAAATGAAAAATACACTAGAGGGAATCAACAGATTAATGGATGCAGAAGAACTGATGCAGAAGATAAGGTAATGGAAAGCACCCAAGCTGAACAGCAAAAAGAACTTTAAAAAATGAGGATAGATCAAAGGATGTCTTGGACAATATCAAGTGGACATTCACATTATAGAGATCCCAGAAGGGAAGGAGAGAGGGGAAGAAAATAGACATCCAGATTGAGCAATCACAGAGAATTCCAAACAAGATGAATCCAGAGAGGTCCACATACTTGACACATAATAACTGAAATGTCAAGGGTTAAAGATAGAGAATTATAAAGCAGCAATAGAGAAGCAAAAAGTATTACAAGTGAAACCCCATAAAGCCTCTGCTTATTTTTCAGCAGAAACTTTGAATGTATAATGTCATGCCCTTTGGGCCTGCAAAGAGCTGAAAGGAAAAAATCCTACAAGCAAGAATATTCTATCTGGCAAGGAGAGAGAGAGTTTCCCAAAGAAAAGTTAAACTAAACCAACCTTAAATGTTAAAGGGGCTACTTTAAGTGGAAAAAAAAAAAAGGCCCTAATTGCAAGTAGGGAAATTTTATGAATAAAAAGATGTAAAATATAACAACATTTACATGACCTGGGGAGGTGGGAGTAAAAAAATTCTTTTAGAATTTTTTTGAACCTAAGTGGCCACCATTTTAATATAGATTGCTTTATAATTGGGATGTTATATGTAAACCTCATGGGAACCACAAACTAAAAATTTATAAGAGATATACACAGAAAATAAAGAGAAAAGAAGCCAAGCATAACACAACAGAAAGTCACCAATCGCAAGGGAAAAGAGCAAGAGAGGAAATGAACAGAGAACTACAAAAGCAACCAGAAAACAGTTTAACAAAATGACAGTAAGTACATACCTATCAATCATTACTTCAAATGTGAATGGTCTAAATGCTCCAATTAAAAGACATTAGATGACTGAATGGATAAAAAAATAAGACCCATTTATATGCTGTCTACAAGAGACTCACTTCAGAGCGAAGACACACATAGGATGAATGTGAAAGAATGGAAAAAGACATTCCATGTAAAAGGGACAAAAAACAAAACAAACTGGGGTAGCAATACTCATATCAGATAAAATAGATTTTAAAACAAAGACTATAACAAGAGACAAAGAAGGGCCCATGTAATGATGGAAGGATCATCCAATGAAAGTATAGCAATTATAAATACACACTCAACATTGGAGACCTAAATACAATAATAGTAGGGGACTTTAGCACCCCACTTATATCAATGGATGGATCATTCAGGCAAAAAATTAATAAGGAAACAGTAGCTTTGCATTCAAGACCAGAGGGACTTTTATATTCAACATTCTATCCAGAAGAATGTATATTCTTTTCAAGTGGACATGGAATATTCTCCAGGATAGTTTACATGTTAGGCCATAAAACACGTGTCAAAAAATTTCAGAAGATTGAAATCATGCATCTTTTCTGACCATAAGGGCATAAAACTATAAATCACAAGAAGAAACTGGAAGAAACACAAACACAGAGACAAAACAACATGCTACTAAACAACCAGTGAGTCAACAAAGAAATCAAGAGGAATTTTAAAAAAATACATGGAGACAAATGAAAATGAGAGCACAACAGTCCAAAATCTTTGAGATGCAGTAAAAGCAATTTAAGAGGGAAATATATAGTCATACAGGCCTACCTCAAGAAACCAGAAAAATCTAAAGGAACCTAACCTTACGCCTATAGAAGCAAGAAAAAGAACAAAGCCCAAATCTAGTAGAAGGAAGGAAATAAATCAGAGCAGAAATAGATCAAATAGAGGCTTAAAAAAACGATGGAAAAGATCAATGAAACCAAGAGCTGGTTCTTGAAAAGATAAGTATCTTGAACAAACCTTAGTGTATTTGTCTTTTCTCTTACTGAAAAGTACAATGAGATTGTTTCCAATTTTTGCTTTAACAAGTAATACCACACTTCTTGTGCTACTCATTCACATGTTTGAAAGTTTCTTTAGGACCATAGTTCTCAACCTGGGTCAGTTTTGCCTTCCAGGGAACATTTGGTAATGTTTGGAGACATTTTTGATTATAAAGACTGAGAGGAGGTATGCTACTGGAAACTAGTGGGTAGAGACTAGAGATACTGCTAAAACATCCTACCTACAATGCAAGAACAGACTTCCATTCACCCCACTACAAAGTATTGTCCAAATTATCCAATTTGTTAATACTGGGTTGAGAAACACTGTTCTGGGGCATATACTTAAAGGTGGGATTGATAAAGCTTGGGGTATGTGCAAGTTTTTTTTCAGTTACATGAAATAGGGTTGTGTAAAACATGAAGAAAATATTTTCAATACAGGTTAAGTTTTGGAGTGTATTGAATTGAAGTTTCTGTGGTGATGATGGCAATCCAGCAATTATAATCAATTTAATTATCTTAAACCAGATAGAGTTAGTGGCATTATATAGAGTTAACTAATTTATCTACTAACCCAGAAGGTGCATATAATCTTTTAACTTCATGAACTAAAATACATTGTTACTTACTGTCTGATTAAAAGATTACGGAGTGAGAGTCTGCTTTAAAAAAGTATCATTTGTGCAAGACAATAGTAGCTGGACTATTTAGGCTGAAGATGCTAATTGAATGAGAGAAAAATTAGAGCATGAAAAATGTAGAATTTTTTCCTGACAAAGATTATTATTAAATACAGAGAAGTTAAAGGTTTGAAAGCTTTCTCTCTAGTTTGATTTAAATTCTTTTTTAATGTTTATTTTTGAGGGAGAGAGGGAGAGAGACAGAGTGTGAGCGGGGGGGAGGGGGGGTGGGCGTTGCAGAGAGGGATACAGAATCGGAAGCAGCCTCCAGGCTCCTAGCTGTCAGCACAGAGCCCAACGCAGGGCTCGAACTCACCAACCGTGAGATCATGACCCAAGCAGAAGATGGACACTCAGCCGGCTGAGCCACCCAGGTACCCCTACCTCTAGTGTGATTTAAATTAATATTTTGGGACGCCTGGGTAGTTCAGCAGGTTCAGCATCTGACTATTGATTTTGTCTCAGGTCATCATCTCATGGTTCGTGAGTTTGAGCCTTGCACCAGGCTCCACATTGATGGTGCTGGAGACTGCATGGGATTCTCTCTCCCTCTTCCTCTCTGTCACTACCCCCTCTCAAAAATAAATAAACATTTTTAAATTTAAGTCTGTAAGACCCACCTTTGAAAATTTGATAGTCCCAGATTTGAAAGCTATAACTCTGAAAAACTATAGCCCAAGAACTATCTGCAATGCTTGTGTGCATACAATTTAGTATCTGACTTTTGGGTGGTTTATGCATGTTCTTGAAGTCTATCTGCGGGCCACTCCCAGTCCCCAGATTTCCAGGTTAAGAACTTTGCTAAAAATCTATGAAAACTCTTAAAGTGCTAAAAATAAGATACATTTGAAATTATCACTGAGTAGTAAAGACACATCTATATTGTTTGCATCTTCAGTGATGGAGAAAAATAGGTGACTTGGAATTAGAATTTTTCAAGTCCTCTAACATTGAAGGAGTGAATATGTATCTTAACTTTATAACCTTCATTTTTCTTTGTCTTCTGTTAGGTGTATGCAGCAGTGCTATGGCAACAAACTAATGAAAACAGACAAAATTCAACAGAAAGAGTGTGTTTTGGAGTTGCCCTACCAGAAGAAAAACTTAATGACTTTCGTGATGAACAGATTGGACAGTTGCAGGAGCTGATGCAAGAAGCTACTAAACCTAACAGACAATTTAGTATTCCTGAATCTAGGAAACCAGAATTTTAGTCTATACAATAAAGCTTACACATTTTAAGTTCAGAACCCCTTACTGGGTTTCTAAAAATGGTTTTGTGAATGCCTGGTGTTCATGAAATATTCCTTAATTTGGGGTTGTTATTAATGTTGTCTACAATATGTAGATCAATATGGCTAGTAAAGCTTTATATGATTGAAGTAACAGTACTTGCTGGATGGGATTTGATTTTTTAAGTACATAAGAAGGAATGACTTTAAAATGGACAAAGTTGTGGAATTTTGCCAAAAGGTTTTTTTGTATGTAAATTTAATGCTGTTCTTGTTCAAGCATTAGCCTCATGGCTTTAGCTTCAACAGACAAGTATGTTATGATAATGACAGATGTGGAGTTCCAACAAGGTTATTATTTACATACATGGATTGTCATCCTGAAAGTTCCTTCCTTTCTCTTTTAATAATACATGTATGATTATTCATGTAAATATGCCTTCTCCCTGAGTCACTATTTATATACAATGAAAGATTAAAAAGAAGCTTAAAGAGTCAGTATTATACACTGTATAATCTATCATGCAAATGATAGTATAATGTTTGTACAGTGTTTGGTAGTAACAAATGACCCCTTAAATTATGTAATTTATAGTTACCTTGAGAATCTCATTTATTGCCTCATCACTGGGGACATAAAAACACTTTCATAAATTTGTCGTAAGTGATAAACTGAAATAATCAAGTGGTAATCCCATTCATGTGTTTAAAATGTTTAATTTTTTAAAAATTACACACTTGTGGGGCACCTGGGTGGGTCAGTCAGTTAAGTGTCCAACTTCGGCTCAGGTTATGATCTCACGGTTTATGGGTTCGGGCCCTGTGTCACACTCTGTGCTGACAGCTCGGAGCCTGGATTGTGTCTCCCTCTTTCTCTGTCCCCCCACCCCTTGCTCACACTCTATCTCTGTCTCTCATAAATAAGTGTTTAAAAAAGTAAATAAAAATTACACACTTATAACTTTAGTTTTGTATGTCTACTTTGAGATTCTGAAATGATCATTTTTCAGATGCTATTGCATTTATTCAACTACTTAAAAATTGACTCATACTTACTCTCTTTTGCTGGATTGGGCTTTTTCTTTGTGTATGGCTGCCAGACTCCTCAGTCCTTTTTAATATTCCTCATTGAATCAGTCTGGAGGTTGATACTTGTCTTTTTTCATTGAAAGATAGGTGGTCAATCAGTAATGAATCTAGGTTCTACATTGTAGGCTCTAGGAATACAAGAAATGAATAAGATAAAAGCTCTTGCCCTCCAGGAGTTTAAAATCTAGCTGTGCATTTAGGAACCATTTCATCATGAACAAATATATCACATCCTCAAACTCTTTCAATCTTTTTTGTCTTCCTAGCTTATAGAATCTAACACCCATAAGGACACTGCTTCTCTGTGTTTTGTGAAGTGGGGGTTATGGGTCATTTTACATTCACTGTAATGTATAATCCCCTCCTGATGTCTGTTTCAACCCATCACTGGGTTACCCTCACATAAGAATTCTTTTTCATTTGTAGTGTTTTCTTTCTGGTTATACTTCCCTATTCATTTTCTTTGGCAACTGGCTCATACTTTTCCATCTCAAGTTTTGCTATCATTTTGGTGACCTTAACACTATAATCCATATGGCTGACATATCTAGTACCTAATTGGTCTCCGATGGTTCATTATTCACCACCCATAAAAAATTTTGGGGAAATCATAGCCATATTTATTGGCCATCACACAAATTACTACCTTGAGGTATTTCACAGTTTTACTACTATATTGCAACATTCTTTTGGGTGACATATATTTGAGAAGCTGTGCTTTTAGTGATTGCTGTGGTAAAAGTATCACAAACTAGTAAAATGCTCAATATGATTACAAAGTTTGCTAAATTTTTAGGGCATAAAACCTGAGTTGTTTGGACTATGTAATAAATGAAACTGCAGTGTTTTTTGTTTGCTTCTGTTAGTTTTTGCTGTATGTATGCTGTGTAAATACTAAAACACTAAGAGTGTGTAAATTGAGAAAGTCTGGGAAGTGGTGCAAAAAGCAGTGTTAACTGTGAACTCATTAGTGTTTTGACCATTCAGTTTGTTCAATGTTCTTTTACTTCCTTCATTTCTATCTCAGTCTGACCTCATTTCTGTGATCTTTCACTTCCTTCAACCATTTAGCAGTACCCTCAATGTCATTGTCTCCTTTTTCTTTAACCTCATCTGCTCTCACCAATGTAACCACTCACTTGCTAAAATCAATAGGATACTAATCAGTAGAAGACGGATGTGTTATCCTGAGTCTTGATAGTGTTAACTATTCCCTACTGCTTTTAAATCACTCCTGCTTGGATGACATGATGATACTGTATATAGAAAACACTAAAGACTCCACCAAAAAACTATTAGAGCTGATAAGTAAATTCAGTAAAGTTGCAGAGTATAAAATCAATGTACAGAAATCTGTTGCATTTCTATATTCTAATAATGAAGCAGTAGAAAGAGAAATTAAGCAATCCCTATCAAAATGACACCAGCATTTTTCACAGAGCTAGAACAAACAATCCTAAAATTTGTATGGAGCCAGAAAAGACCCTGAACAGCCAAAGCAATCTTGAAAAAGAAATCCAAAGCTGGAGGCATCACAATCCCAAACTTCAAGCTGTGTTGCGAAGCTGTAATCATCAAGAAAGCATGGTACTGGCACAAAAATAGACACTCAGATCAATGGAACAGAATAGAGAACCCAGAAATGGAACCACAAAGGTATAGCCAACTCATCTTTGACAAAGCGGGAAAGAATATCCAGTGGAATAAAGACAGTCTCTTCAGCAAATGGTGCTGGGAAAACTGGACAGTGACATGCAGAAAAATGAACCTGGACTACTTTCTTACACCATATGCAGAAATAAACTTAAAATGGATGAAAGACCTAAACATAAGACAGGAAACCACCAAACTCCTAGAGGAGAAAGCAGGCAAAAGCCTCTTTGACCTCAGCCACAGCAACTTCTTACTCAATACGTCTCCAGAGGCAAGGGAAACAAAAGCAAAAATGAACTATTAGAACCTCATCAAAATAAAAGTCTGCTGCACAGCAAAGGAAACAATCAGCAAAACTAAAAGGCAACCGACAGAATGGGAGAAGATATGTACAAATGACATATCAGGTAAAGGGTTAGTATTCAAAATCTATAAAGAACTTACCAAATTCAACATCCAAAAAACAAATAATCCAGTGAACAAATAGGCAAAAGACATGAATAGATACTTCTCCAAAGAAGACATCCAGATGGCCAACCAACACATGAAAAAATGCTCAAGATCACTCACTCATTATCAGGGAAATACAAATCAAAACCACATTGAGATACTACCTCACACCTGTCAGAATGGCTAACATGAACAACTCAGGCAACAACAGATGTTGGCAAGGATGCAGAGAAAGAGGATCTCTTTTGCATTGCTGGTGGTAATGCAAACTGGTGCAGCCACTCTGGAAAAAAGGATGGAGGTTCCTCAAAAAATTAAAAATAAAACTATCTTACGACCCAGCCATTGCACTACTAGGTATTTATCCAAGGGATACAGGTGTGCTATTTTGAAGGGGCATATTCACCCCAATGTTTATAGCTGCACTATTGATAATAGCCAAAGTATGGAAAGGGCACAAATGTCCATCAACAGATGAATGGATAAAGAATATGTGGTGTGTGTGTGGGTGTGTGTGTGTGTACACAAGTATTACTTGGCAACCAAAAAGGATGAAATCTTGCCATTTGCCAGTGGATGGCACTTTGTGGATGGAACTAGAGGGTATTCTAAGCGAAATTAAAGACAAGTATCATATGACTTCACTCATGAGGAATTTAAGCTACAAAACAGATGAACAGGGGCGCCTGGGTGGCGCAGTCGGTTAAGCGGCCGACTTCAGCCAGGTCACGATCTCGCGGTCCGTGAGTTCGAGCCCCGCGTCAGGCTCTGGGCTGATGACTCAGAGACTGGAGCCTGTTTCCGATTCTGTGTCTCCCTCTCTCTCTGCCCCTCCCCCGTTCATGCTCTGTCTCTCTCTGTCCCAAAAATAAATAAACGTTGAAAAAAAAATTTTTAAAAAAACAAAACAGATGAACATAAGGAAAGAGAAGCAAAAATAATCTAAAAACAGGGAGGCGGACAAAACATAAGAGACTCTTAAGTATAGAGAACAGAGGGTTCCTGGAAGGGTTGTGGGGGGGGGGGGATGGGCTGAATGGGTAAGGGGCATTAAGGAATCTACTCCTGAAATTATTGTTGCACTATATGCTAACTTGGATGTAAATTTAAAAAATAAATTATTAAAAAAATAAAGCAATCCCACTTACAGCTACACCAAAAATGATAAAATACTTAGGAATAAACCTAAACAAAGAGGTGACAGACGTGTACTCTGAAAACTATAAAATACTGATAAAAGAAATTGAAGATGACACAAAGACATGCAAAGACACTCCATGCTTGGAGGAATATTGTTAAAATATTCATACTACTCAAAGCAAGCTATAGATTGAATGCAATCTCTGTCAAAATATGAACAGCGTTTTTTGTAGAAAAATATCCTAAAATTGGTATGGTGACATAGAAGACCCTGAATAGTCAAAGCAATCTTGAAAAACAAAACTATAGGTATCACAATTCTAGAATTCAAGTTGTATTATGTAATTATGCAATCAAAACAGCATGGTACTGGCACAAAAATAGACACAGATCAATGGAACAGAAAACCCAGAAAAAAACCCATGATCATATGGTCAGTTAATATATAACAAAGGAGTAAAGAATATGCAGTGGAAAAAAGATAATCTCTTCAACAAATGGTGGGGAGAAACTACAGCTACATGCAAAAGACAGACAGGTATGTGAAACTGGACCACTTTCTTACTCCATACACAACAATAAACAAAGTGGATTGAAGACCTAAGTGTAAGACCTGAAACCATAAAAATCCTTAAGGAGAGCACAGGCAG